TTTGTATTTTTGTAATTTAATAAGGCTGTTTTAAGGTATCTCACTGCCAAAGACAAAATACAAGTATAAAGCTGCCAAAAATGCTAAGGGACACCAAGTGTCAGAATAATCCTATTGATATATGACAAAAAGAGGAGTTGAGACAATGAAACTTGTATATATTTATCACAAATGGAATCTTCTTTTTAATGTTCCGCAATGTCAAGATTTAAGGATTTTTTTAGTACTATTTTCTGGCCTAAGTACATAACAGTCACCGAGTGTTTAGAAGTAGTTTGTCTAAATGTACCTGAGGCATATTTTTTAGCAACCTTTGGGGCTGAAAAATCTCCTGATCCGTTTTAAAGATTAACGCCTTCTTCGATAGTGATTGCAGCATTTGACAATTGAACCACATTGATTTCTTGGAACTGAAGCTTTGATTTATTCACCTGACCTAACCTGCTATGTTATCCAACTTCCAATAACTGACGAAAGGTTTTATTATTTCCCCTACAGACAAAAGAGAGAAGTAGTAAATAATAGGTTGAGGTCTCAGACTTGCCATTTCTATGTATTCCAGTTAGGCAGATTCTGCCCTATTTTACAAAAGTGCTAGTTCTGCAAGCATTTTTTTAAATATTTTTATTTGAGTATAAATGGTATGGAAGTAAAATCCATCAGCCCTAAAATCAGTTCAGTACTTTGCAAAGATTTAAAATGTATGAAAGAAAAAAAGCTCTCGGCTTTACTAGCAGTTGTTAAAATGCAGCGGCTCCAAACTATGTCAACTAAATACAACCAAGTGACAATACTAGTTGTTCTACATTTATTTCACAACCAAGTCTTTCATCACAGCTGGTTCCTGGGAGTATTCTAATCCAAATCAACTGAAATCTTATTCAGCTCGTATGCAGATTTTGAAACACCACAAATGACTGCTATCTACTGAATACACAAAGCAGAGGCATACCTCTTATGTAAAATACATGGCATTAAATTTGTGTGATTTATTCTTGAGTTTGGTTTAATTTCTCATAAAAAGCAAAGTCAAGTTGAAGAATTAGAATTACCTTACACATTCAAACATATTGATAATATGAACACATTTTTGTACATGCTGAAAATCAAAGCTGTCAAAAAACATACCTAGTAATTAAAACAACTGCTGACTCCACTGAGGAATAAATTAGGACATCCCATAGCTCCCTAGCTGGTTTCAACAACACTTTTCACATTAGTTAGAGGGTAAAAACATCAAGAATCTGCATTCTGAACAAGGCTTAGCCCTTTTTAAAACTAAGGCATTTAGCAGTGTGTGTGAACTTGACTGTTGGAGCAAGTAAACAGCAGGGTAATATTGTAGGACCATACTGAGGCCCTTAGAAGGACGTTGCAGCAGCTTAAAAGCCTGGTCATGAGATTTAAGAGGTTCTTGAAATAATTTGAAATCAGCCGCACATTGAAAAGGTGCGCTTCAAACACCATTCACTTCAAAGATGTAAAGATGTAAAAAATGCAAAGATGTCACAGCAGGCTTGCCACAGTTGATGTGAAAGTGCCTCTACCATCTAAGTGCATCCTTTCATATCTGAGAGGAGCTTTAGATTGACTTCTGGTGAATGGAAGTTTAAAAGAGATTTTTTTTCTCAAATAAATAAATAAAATAAAGTCCAAACTGAAGATCACTAGAGAAAACACTGACAAAGACTGAATTCTTTGGGCATCAGAGTGGATGACAGGTTTGTTTTAACCAAATAACAGTTTTCTAGACACACAAAAAATAAAATAAATTTACATAAAAGCCACTCCAACTGTGAAGCATGGGGATGTTTCACAATCTGGGAATCCTTTTGCTACAGTTTAACAAGGCCAGTTAAACATCATACCATGCAACACGTATCTTAATAGTGTTTACCTAAAGAAATTTAAGAGAATGACGATCCAAAATATACCAGTGTATCAGCTAATGGGCTGGCAAAGAATTAAAAATTGAGAACTCCTGGGTCCAATCCCAAACCGTCCCCTAAACTCCCAAGCATTAACTTCTAATTTGAGTGTTACTGCAGAGGCTCCACCCCTACAAGGGCAGTCCCAAACAATGTAGTGGGTAAAACAAGTGGACCATCCAGCCCTTAAATAGAGGGTCTGCTTCACTCAGACTCGCTGGAATTTGACAGCAACTGTAACTGCAAAAGAATTTCAGAGGAGGCATTCAGATCTAAGTTCACCTGGTTTGCTGCATTTTTTCACACGGACACACAAGACAGGTAAACAAGACGATATTAATTCCAAAAGGGAAGGTCGTCTTTGAAATATTTTCATTTGACTGATTAGAATTAATTTTAAGAAAGAGGCAAATGTTTGATTACATGTCATCCTGCACCACATAGCTTTAGCCATGCACATGGGTTGTCACTGTGTTGCCATAGCAACAACTTATTTTCATATCCAGTGGAGGTAAGGGGTCATCCAATTCTCATTTACCCCCCCCCCCTCAATCCAGGCAACCTGACAACTGTGAGTGTGACTTCATTGGGAGTGATACTACATAGAAGAGGCAGTGGATAGGGAGCGGCTTGGGGTTGGGCCACGGAGTGACGAAAAGCCAAGGAGAGACATGAAACATTCTGCACGTGCAAGAAATCACCCAAACACTTCAAGGTGAAAATCAAGGACTCTTAGATGGTTACAAGAGGAGGCTTCTCACTCATGATATGCCAGCCAAAGGAGGTCACCCAAGCTATTAAGAAGTAAAGGTGTCCTTACTTTTTCCTCAGTTCAGATCTATTCAGGGTTTGATAAGAACAAAATAGTACCTGTATTGAAATTAATTTCGTTTTCAGACAAGAACAGAAAATATGATTAGATATATGATGATAGTGTTTAACAATTAATTATTGTAGCTACCTTCTTTTTTATGAATATAATAGGTGAGAGATGTAAATGTAGTAACTTATTCACCTTAGTTTTTGTAGTCAGCAAGGCACAAGAAAGGACAGGGTCTCGCCTCAATGATCTACTAGAGGCCCTTTACGAAATCAGCTTTGTTTATTCTGTGAAACTGGACCATAGATAACAGTACTCATTGTGAGAGACCAGTTAAACCGAGTTTAATTTGCTTTTAAACTGTTTAATCATTCTCCTGTTTGAACTGTTTGCATGGAGCTGTCAGCTAAATGTTGCCCCACCCTTTGATTTCAACAGCACTCACCCAAAACCTTAATGATTTCCTAAACTTAACACAGGTAACTCTGGATGTTTATATGTTCTTCTACCCTCTTCTTATTCAAGAGTTTCTCATGAAACGAATTATAAGGGGAGAATACACATAATCTATGCATGTCCCTGAACAGATTGGCCACTAGGTTAAGTGGGCAAAACTTAACCTAGAATTTAAACGGGAACAATGCCTGTTTAAATTCTGAGCTATAAAAGGCTTTATACTGAGGCCATTACTGTGCCTTTGTAATGTGTGACTCCTTTGCAGTTTTGCTACTGACACCACACCGGGACACTTTGTGGAAGAACAATAACAACAACACATTCCTTGCTTGTATAGTGGCTTCCTAGAGGCTCATTGGGGTTTCTAAGAAAGAGTTGAATTCAACTCTGCCTGTACACGCCCTACAGTGTCCCATGTAAGCAACTTTGTAGTAGGAAGGTGTTTGTTTGATTAAAAATAAAAAAGTGGCTTCCATGTTTCGTTTGTTCGTCATTGAAAATAGAATTAATCTGTAAAGAAAAGATCCCGTTAACTCGTATTTATAACAAAATATCTGATGTACCACAGGGAAGCTGCAGTGTTGCTTGACACCATTAGTGTGTGAATTTGTGTGGGAATTGGTGAATGAATGTAGTGCAAAGTGCTTTGATGTTTTCTGATTTAAAAGGGTGCTTTTCTAAGTAAATGAATAAATAACAGTCTTTACTAGCAATTTTTGGTACATTCAAATTAAATGTGTCTCCTAAATTTAATCCATGATGGCTGCTGTGCATCATCACGTGAATGTTCTCAGGTTCAGGGACCCAAAGCGGCCTGCTAAAAGATTTGAACCCGGGGAACGTACCGCCTTCTCAGAATGTTAGTGACCTGCTATAATCAGCAGTTTGTGACTCATGTCACACAAGGGTCGGTGTGTGTGTGTGTGTGTGTGTGTGTGTGTGTGTGTGTGTGTGTGTGTGTGTGTGTGTGTGTTTGGGGTGGGATTTATAGGGTTGATGCAGCCTCAAAAGGCGAGACAGATACTTTTTCTTAGAGACATGTAGATCGGTGCCTTTAATATATATTGGTTAGAAATCCTAATAACAAGTGAGGCGCCTTTACAGAACCAACAAGAGAAAAAATATATAGTAAACTGGCTGCTGCCACACAGGCTGTGCAATAGATGGGAACAGAGCACAGGAAGAAAAGAAAAAAAAAAAAAAAAAAAAGAGTACTCTTCAAATAAGGAAAATGTTGCTTGAAAATTAAGTCAGATTATGCATATATTTATTTTGTTTGTGCGTGTATTCACTAAACACCATTGGAAATCTCTCAAAATTCAGAAAGCAAATGCCATTACCAAGAGGGCATAATGTCTCTTAATACTTTAATTAAAAATAGGTCATTATGATTAAAACTCACAATTACAGATCTGACACAAATTTGGATATAACCAATTATATTGATAGAGACCAATCAATCTTAAGCAAAAAGTTAAATTTCATCTTGCTTTATAAGGAAATAATAAAAAAAGTTAACTTTCAGACTGTCGTCCTTGTCAGAAGGGATCCAGTGTGTTTATGGAAGGATAGGTGAGGTTCCAGGTGGAATACCGGAAGTTCAGCAGTGACAACAAACTGCAGCTACAAACTGCTACAGAATAAATATTTCAGACTCGTTTCCTCTGAAAACCAACCAGCGCGGAGCAAACAGATATTTAAACGTGTTCCAAAGTTATTGTCCAGGTCTCTCTTGTTATATATTTCATCCCAACAGGCTACCTGGCTAAAGTAAAGGAAAAAAAGTCTCCACTTACGTGATATCTGGCAGAGCTCATTTCAACAGACAGGCGGAACCTGAATCCAACAGGAAAAACTCTGCAGCTTGTCTTCTACCTTAAACCAACACTGCAGTCATTAAAAAACAAACAAAACAAAACGTAGTCCTTCGCAGGTTTATCACAACCTTTTCCTAGCGAACAGAGAGCTTGAGACAGCCAGAAAAAAAACCTGTTGCTCACACGCCTTGAGCATAAGCCCCGCCCACAACACCTGCCGTGTACCTGGCCACCAGAAATCCATGCCTGTCTAAATTCAACTCAGTGCAAATGGATCAGAATCGTAATAATGCAGTGGATGACATTGATGTGAGAATTGTGTGATTAAGATTTTAATCAGTCTTCTATAACAAGTACTTTTAAGCTAGATAATATTTCTCAATATATATATCTATATATATATATATATATATATAGATATATATATATATATATATATATATATATATATATATATATATATATATATATATATATATATATATATATATATATATATATATATATATATAATTTTTTTTTTTTTTGTAAAATGACTTTGAAATTACTTAATTTAAAGGAACCCCAACACTTAACAAATCAAATAAAATGAAGTTGTTTTTAAACAGTTATTGCTGGTTTCAACTAAATTACAAGTGATTACACGCTTTTTATTTTCAATATGAAAAGATCTGTATTAAATGTAAATTAGTCTTGTCTTGAAATACAAGACATTTTTATGGTATTAGTACACTGAAAACAAAAACTAAACTCTCAAATGTTCACACGCCTCTCTTAATCTGCGTTAGTGAGCACTTCTCCTTTGTTGATATAATCCATCCGTCTCTTAGACGGCCTGATTAATACACAGGTGGGCCAACTATTGTCTCAGCTTTCACTGTAACTAACTGTACATACTATTTTTCACCCCATTAATCTGAAAAGCAGATCAAAACTCATCCGCTTACACATTTCTTTCCTAAACATTACTTTAGGTAACATAGAAAGTATTCATGATCAGTGTTTCTATGTTTCTTCACCTCTATCTTCTCAAATCCTCATTTGGCCGAGGCAGAAGGCCATTCAAACTCAACTTTGTTCTGCTGGAGGTTTTCTTCAATTAAAACAGTTTTTTTCCCCAATCATCCATTGGTTTTGCATGCATGCTTGGTGTCGGAGATTATTTCAAAGTCAAATCTGCATTGACACTATATGCTCATCCAGGAGGAGTTAAGTCTGCAAAATAAATGGCACGATGCAATCAGCTGGGTTTCCTTAGATTGAAAACTTTTGGCCAATCTATTTGTCTGATTTTTTTCACCTTAGTGTCAAAGCGCACCAGATCTTGAATTTGAGAAAAAAGATATGAGGACGGAGACATGACAAAAACATGTATTCAAAAGTATGGATGGTTAGATATATACAGTAATGTCCAATTAAAAGCAGTGTATTTCAATATAGTCTTAATACAATACGATCATGTGGTTTTACCTGGTAAAATAAAATTGTTAAATGAAACCAGTAGACCACATTATATTCCCTAGATCTAAGAGAGCAGGAATATTGGAAAGAACCAACCTATTTTAACAGGAAACATACATTTTTACTAGGCTTAGCAGTAAATGTGTTTACCTCTCTTTTCTAGCAGTGTGATGAGGGCTTGTTTAGTTATTTATATACAGTATATGGGCTTGACTATAAGAGCTCTTTAGGTATTTAGGAAGAAGTATTTCCTGTTATATTATATATTTAGGAGGTTGCCAATTAAGAGAAACTCTCTTGTTAATATCCTCATGGTCTGCTTGGTGTTTTTCTACACTACTAAATAGTTAAAACACTAGAATATAAAAGGAAATGAATACATTTCTCACAAGTTGTTCTCTTCCATAACTCTCAAACATGTATTTAAAGGCATAATACACAGTTCATAGTTAGCACCTAGCCTTGTATTTCCTCCCATCAACTAAATTGCTGACATTGCTTTGTTTTCTGTCGACTGTTTCTTTTTCTCAATCATTGCTGCTTATTTTGTCATTAGGTAAAAAATTTGCGTTTTTTGAAGGCTTGTCTTTTTGTGTGTGTTTTTTCTACTTTTTGGTTCAGAGATACTTTTTTAGTTTAGTTTAGTTTTTTTACACTACGTTACCTCTGTGACCCACCTCAGCTCTTATCAGAATCATGAAATCAAAATCAGAAAATGCTCTATTGCCATGTAGTGATTCATATGTATGAGGAATTTGATTATGTGATGCTGCAGAAGTTAATGTACGGATGGCATAAAAGTATACATGAATATACAATTTGTGATAAACAAATCAAAGCTGTTGCTAAAGAGCACCTCAACAAGACAGAAAATAATATTAAAAGCATAAAATGATATTTATATAAACATGTTATTCTCATACACACATGCTGAGATGTTTAGATATTTTTGTACCCCAATGGAAAAAGTGTCAGTGGATCTCCGATACCTTTTTAAAGATGCTAGAAGATTAGGAAAAAATATTTTTTTGCACTGAGATGCTCTGGTTCTAAAGAACCGCATTTATCTGCCAGAGGGATGAGTCTATGATGGAGGGGGTTATCTTATCTGCCAGCCTCTGAGTCCTGCAGGTGTACACTTCCTGAAGAGAAGGAAAATTGCAGCCAGACACCCTCTTTGCATTACAAATGATAATCTGCATTCTGCTCTTGAGCCTGATGGTGGCCAGGTGGTAATGGACGAGGAGAGGATGTACTCAATAATAGCAGAATAGAAGTGCACAATATAATTGTCTTTGATACGCTGAGCTTTTACGTAATGTCATAGCTGTTATTATCACATATTTTAAACTGGAATGCTGGAAATTTCTATACCAGGTGACCAACAGCTCAAATTTATTACAATAATTAGAGCAAAACCACCAGAGCATAATCTAAAGTGTGTTCACATAAACTCAAGGAAAAGGTTTTTCATCAAAACAATAAAAGATAAAAAGCTACAGTTGTAAGGTCAAACTTTAATTTAAAAGATTGTGTAATATTTATTTTCCTCATAACTTTGTAAAGGTCCCTGAGGATATCTAATTACTTCCATGCACCGTTTGATTTGCTTTCAATAAATGTAAGTATAGTTTGAGTTTAAGATGTTTTTCTTTCCATAACTTATACCCACATTCATATAAATGTTAGACTGATGTCCTCTTTGTTCATGTGTTACAAACACTACATCTTTTGTTGAGTCATTTTTTGTGTAACTTTATGGCTGAGTGGTATTCTCCTAAATGAGTCAGCTGTCATATTTTTTTTAAAATACAGGCACATCAGTAAAGACCTTCCTTAAATGCAAGCCTATATGTGTTTACCTGTCAAGATTTCAAAATAATCTGATGTCCTTATGGATTGATGGAGTCTATTTCTATAGTACAACGCAAAGAGAAAGGAAAAATACAGACTCAAAAAACATGATACAACAAAGGACAAATAAAGTATCCCACATTAAGCATGGCAACATGTGAGATTATCACAGAAAAAGATTAAATGATGAATGATATGATCGTAGTAAGTAAAATAAAACATTACTGTAATGGTAAATTATTCTTTGATCAGACTGAAGTTGAATGTTTTGGTAGCGCATTTAAGGCTGTAGTGAAATGTTTAGTGTCTGCAGTATTACAGGTATAACAGCTAGGAACCTCATTTTAAAAAGTCACCTTTACCATAGCCAAGTAGGATGGAAGATAGCCAGATAGCTAGATAGCTAGCTAGATAGCTAGATAGATAGCTAGATAGATAGATAGATAGATAGATAGATAGATAGATAGATAGATAGATTTGAGTTTAAAATTGCCTTTATTACAAAATCTACCAATCAACAAAACAAAATAAAATTTATCTAATCAAAGCATCAAAAACCAAAGTAAAGTAAACTAAACTTCTTCATCTACTGAACACAGAATACCATTAATGCCCCATTTACTTACAAAAACATCTATGCTCTTTGTTAACTTAAAAAAACTCAAATTCTACACGAACACGAGCAACTATCAGTCTCTTTAAAAAAACACAAGCATCCTCCGTTTGATGACAGTAAATTTTCTTCTTTCTTGATATCCATATTGCTAGTTTTTGTTGGGATCTGGAGGCTTTGTCCACTTTCTCCACCAGAGGGCGCACGAGATCTCCTGGGGGCATGAGCTGACTGCAACACCTGTCTTCCATCTGCTCATCAGGAAGCCCTATTTTAGGAGGAGGAGGCTAACACTTCCCTGCCAGAGTGTTTGCCAGTAGTGATTGAGTCCTGTCTGAAGACCTGAAATCCTGGAGAATTATCTCTGTCTGGAATCTGCCTCCCTGCACTCAGTTAAGCCTCTGCCTTTGCCTTCAGTCCTCTGCCTGCCGACTTGCCTCTGGACCCTCAAGGTTCCCCCCCTGCAGCTCCGCTCCACCTTTAAGCAGGTATTTACTCCAACATCTGAAAACCTGCAGTTTACCTGAACACCAACTCCTCTGTCCTCCTCAGTGGTGTTCCCCTCGTGAACTATCTGCCGAGCCAAGAACCAGAATACTCATTGTAAATAGGAAAATAAACCTTTGAACTTTTTCCCTGTCTCACGAGTGTTTCTGCATGTGGGTTAGACGCCTTGAACCCAACATGACAGTTTTGCCATTCCAGAAATTAAATTTAAAAGCACATGAACAGATCTCTTCTTTGCACAATACCGTGGACCATAAATAAAAATACAGCTAGAGGACTGAACAGCAAATCACTAAACAAACGATCCAAAAGGAAAAAAAGAGGATTCAAACCTAAACATTGAACAAAAAATATGATGCAACACCTGTAAACAAAAAGGACATTTAACACTAGCGTCAGGATTAAGGTGAGCCAGATACCTGTTTGTAGCTATTGCCCCAAGTACAATCCTCCACTGGAGAGAGAGAGAAAGAAAGATGAATGGCAACCTACACAGCTGTTGGTTTTTGCATTCTCTAATAATTTCCACCAGATGGCGCTGTTCACCAAGCCAAAAAAGGGTCGCCCTGAGCAAAGTCTCCAACAAACACCCGCAGAAACAGGGCTTGGTCCTGCCAGTCTTCATCCACATAACAGCTCGGCCTGCCATTGGAGAGCCCGCTGGAGAGAGTGAGCAGAAAGAGGAGGACGCAGGAGAAAAACGCAGGCTATCAGTATCTGCGCCTCTACCGATGCAACCAGACAGC